AAGAGCCTGTCACTCTGGCCGCCCTCCGACGGCCTCCAAGCGGATGCTACCGCACGCATTAATCTTCTCCTGTCACACAGCAGTGTTTAAGGCAAGCCAAGTCCTGTGGGCTGCTTTTTTCTTTATTTGGAAGGAGGGTTCTGGAGCCCTAAGGCTGCGAGTGGGGCATGAGTCATGCATCTGACTGCTGCTGACCTCGGCTGGGGACAAAGCGGGGCCTGTGTGGAGAGAGACCCCAGGTTATGGCGCTAGTGGGAAGGAAGGGGAGGCAGTGGCTGGGCCCCCCCTGAGTTCCCCAGAAAGGAGACATTGTCTGGCCCAGCACATGGAGAGGGGATGGGAGAGTGCCTTGGTTTCCCTCCTCTCTGGGAACATGCTTCCGACTCCACAGCCGCAAAGAGACAAGCACAGACTTTCCTGTTGACCCAGCACAGGGGTGGGGCTGTCCGGATGACCGTGTCGGTGTGCCCTGGGGTGGGGGCCCTCAGCAGGGGGTGCCCGCTGCGCGGACACCCCACGTCCGCCCTCCTGCCCCAGACAGATGTCACCGCCTCCCTGGGCAGCCTCAGCTCCCAAGTGCAGGGACATGGCTGCTCTGTGCTGGGACACGTTTTGGAGAAGGCAGGACCGCACGCCAGTCCTTGCCCATCGATGACAGATGGCACTAGCAGCTTCGTGGTGTTTCCAGTTGAAAAGGTGTCTCTTATCTGCTCTATCAGTTATCCATCATCTAGTCTGTAACACCAACTTGGGAGCTCTCGGTGGATTGCTACCCTGAACACAAGAAGGGGGGCATGCCTAGAACACGGGCCAGAGCGCTGCCGCGGAAGTGCACACGTGCCTGACTCTGAGCAGCGCCGACGACTTAAACGTTGCCAACGAAGCAGGAGGTCGTTTTGCCGTCATGTGAGCCAAGTTTGTAGATGCTGGTGAGACTGTGTGTTGGGGGGCGTGTGGGCTGAATCTGTCCTCACGTTCTGGACGGTCGCACCGTGTCCCACACTGGCGCCTTCTGCGGCGAGCAGCCTTGAGCCAAGCACGTGCCTGTGGGCACTGCTCTGGGACAGGTGGGCGGCCGTGCACGGGCCACTGTGCTCCAGGCACCCTCAGGGTTGGGATAGGAGAGTTCCGCAGACGTGCCCGCTCAGACCTCAGGCCTGTTGGCAACTAACGTTTTACATATGTATTTGGAAAGTGATCTATGACGTGATATTAAAGGAAAAAGTGAACTGTGTATGGGGATGTGTAATGGAATCCTACTTTTATTTTTTTTAAAGATTTTATTTATTTATTTGACAGGCAGAGATCACAAGTAGGCAGAGAGGCAGGCAGAGCCGGGGGCGGGGGGGAAGCAGGCTCCCCGCTGAGCAGAGAGCCCGATGCAGGACTCGATCCCAGGACCCTGAGATCATGACCTGAGCCGAAGGCAGAGGCTTGACCCACTGAGCCACCCAGGCGCCCCAGGATCCTACTTTTATTGTAAAGATATGTATTTCCATCTGTATCTACTTGTGTTCTATATTCATAGATCTTCAGAGAAAAAAATCTAGCATATACCCTGTAATGTTAATTCTGGTTTTCACTTTCTGACATCCTTATGTATTTTTAAAAAATTTTGGTTTTAAAAAAATGGCTTTATTGAGTACTGATTCACATTCCCTGTAAGTAACTATAGCAGATGTGTAATTCTGTGGCTTTCAGTACCTTTGGAGCTGTAGCCGTCAGTTTGGGAGTATTTTCGTGACCATTCACTACCCGTTTCCTGCGGCTCCGGCCACTTTCTCTCTACATACTTGCCTTTTCGGGGGAACGTGGAGTCGCACTGTATGTGGCCTTTTGTGGCCTGTCTCACTGAGCGCCGTGGTTTCAGTGTTCGTCCGTGACAGCAGGCGTCTGAGCTCCACACTGTCCGGGTCGACGGACGCCACCTTGTTCATCCGCGCCGGCTCTGCCGATGCACACGGGGGCTGCTGCTGCTTCTCCGCTGCTGTGAGCGCGGCCGCCAGCTCGCGGGCCGCAGTGTCTGTGGGGACGTGTGTCCCCCCCTGCTCTGGCCGTTTCAGGGAACTGCTGCTGTTGCCGAGTGGCCGCACCGCTGTGCGTCCTGCAGGCTCCGACTTCGCCACATCTCACACTTGTCACCCTTATTTCTAGTTACACGTTATAGGAAACATTCTCATTCGTGCATGTTCCTTTTCTTAAGCAAACAGTTGAGATCGTGAAGGAGTGAGGCAGCGTAGGGAGGTTCTAGGAACAGGCCTGTGAGTGTGATGGTGGGGCAGGGCCCCAGGGGAGCAGTGTCTTCCTGGGGCACCTGGCTGAGGGGGGCAGGGACGAGGTGTGGTGCGTGGGGAGCGGGCGTCTGCAGACACAGCCTGCGATGTCAGGCCCGTACTGTGTCTGGGACTCCATCGGCCCCTCAGGGCATGTGCTTGCCACCAAGGCTGGGCGTCCTGCTGCCACGACTCGCATGGCACGTGACTCCCTGTGGTCTGGCTCTCTCCTCTGGGCTCAGGTGCCACCTTTGTGTCCTATGGCCTCTGGGGGCAGCCTTGCCCCAAGTGGCACGTCTGAGGGTATGGGTTGGGGTTCTGTGTCTCTGAAGACAATCCGTGTGCGGCCCATGTGTAACACGGGATGATATGGAGACTGCGATGACCTTGCAGCTCGTGTTGGCCGTGTGGCTGTGCAATTAAAGGAATTAAACCCCGGAGAGGGTTGTCTGGGGTGAGGCCCAGGGACCCGTGTTTTCTAAAACCCCGTCCCGGTGGTTCTGCTTTGCAGCCCGAGCGAATTTCGGTTGGCTCCGAGTGCAGAGTAGACGAGCAGAGCCCCACGCACCCGGACAGGGTCCCGGGAGGTGAGAGGAGAGCTCAGACAGATCCACACGTGGCTTTCCCTGGAGACGCCTGTGCCCAGACAGACAGAAATGTGTGGGTGTGTGGCCTCCGTGTGAGGCCTGCGAGGGCAGTGGTGACGTCTGCGTGATGACGGCTTGGTGGCATGGCACTCTCTGCACCCTCGGACCCTCAGGACAGCAGCCCCCCCCCGCCCCGGCTCTAGTCTTACTCAGTGAGTGAGCAGGACGCACGCAGCCGTCCGGTGTTTCCAGACGCAGCCCCGGGTCTAACACGCTCTGCTTTGCCGCACGGCAGCTCCCTAGTGGCTCAAATGCCTTCCCCTTTGCGGCTGCTTTCTTGGCTGTTGTCCGACTCACTATGGCCTGGTCCTTCAGGACCCCAGACCCTTGCCTGCCTCATGTGCTTCGGGATTATTCCCTCCGGCGCCCCAACAGCCCCGGGCCCTCAGGGGCCACTGTTGACTCTTCTTCCCACCCAGCAGGTCCGCTCTGCCGGTGCTGGGCGCGGTGTCTGGACAGGTGGGCTCAGGCAGGTCTGCTCAGTGACGGTTCACGTCCTCTGTCCCCACCCACCCAGGCCAGCCCTCAGCTACTGGCCAGAGGAGACAGGGTGACCGTGGCACCTCTGTGCCCCCGTCTGTCCACAGGTCAGCCTGCACGGCCACAGACTGTGGACGCGTTGCCTCTTGACGGGGAAATGACTGCTCTGCCTTTTCCGTATTTCGAAGGCCGGGGCACCCTCCTCAGCCACTGCCTGGTGTGGGCAGCACCCAGCCCTTCCGCTCGGCTCCCTCTCCCTGCCTGGCCGCACGAGCCCGGGCTGGGACTCCAGTAGCCCGTCCGGGCCGTGGAGGGTGGGCGGAGGCCTGCCCGTGTCCTGTGTCTGTTTTCCTCATGGGCGGTGTCTCCCTTGGGCCCCAGGAAGGGTCCACGTGCTCTGTCCGTTCTGGGCTCACCGGGCCTTGCTGAGCTGGTCCCGAGGGACAGAGTCGAGACGCGTGTGCAGCACCAGCTGGTGATTTTGACAGATCACGTGCCTGTGTCTGAAGAGAGCGGACTCTTTGCTGCTGAGGCAGGTGGTGGAAGGCAGACACATGGGTGACCCCATGTCATGGCACCAAGAACACTGTTCTGTGGGGCCGTGGCACTGGTCAGATGGAGAGGCCCCGTCGCCTTGGGGCCCTTGAGAAAGAACGGTGCTTTCTGACGCTGACTGCGGTGCGCCCTCTGATCTCAGAGGTGCTCAGACGTGGTGGGGAGAGTCGTCTCAGGACTGACCAGACACAGGCTGGAGCGCCCTGCCATCCGTGTCCCTCGCAGGGGGGTTCCATGGCCAGGCAGCACACTGTCCCCTTCTCCGCTGTTACTCGAGCCTGGCCAGGACTGTGCGTTCTTCCTCCCCTAACCAGCACAGCATACCCTGTTAGCTTTTCCAACTTCAAACCTTGGCCATGGCGTGTGTGGGAACGGGTAGGGTCAGTGGGTGCCGCAGGGAGTGGCGGGCCATCCTATAACCAGCTGCAGCCGATCGGGGGCCTTGCCCTTTCCAGCAGGTCTGCTCTCTGCACACCTCACGTGCGGACTCGGCCTGACCCAGCCGAGCAGCTGGGGGCCTGTTTATTGACCTTGACTGGGGTTTGTGGTTCACGTTGGGTCTCCATGCACAGGGACGCTGGTGCGGGGTCTGTGTGGAGGGTCAACCCGTGGCCAGGGGTCCTCTCCCCAGTGACAAGTGCAGATTTCAGCCCGACTTCTGGGAAAGGAGGGCCGTAGGGTCTGCACCTGGCAAGCCAAGTTTGAGGGACGCGCATGAAGTGAGGTCCGCCCGCATGTCCCACGTGTCCTCGTGGTCCTGGAGTGTTGGGTCCAGCCTGGACACACACAGCGGACTCATGCTCCCTGTGTGGAGCTCTCTGCCCGCAGCTGATCACTCCGGGTGATGGGCCTTGGGGCCAACAGTGGGGACCACATTTGCACCCCAGCAAGCAAACCAGTTCCACATCGCACACGTGAGATATGGCATGGCATGTTGCTGACACACACGAGAGCGTGATTCTGCGTGTGCGCCCGAGGCTAGTGCTCAGTGGGCCACCCCACGCTGGTAGCTCACCTAACGGAGTCCGTTCTGCTTGCTTCTCAGCCCCTTCTATGGAGAAGACTTCTACTGCGAGATCCCTCGGAGCTTTCGGCACCTGTCCTTTTATGTCTTCGACAGAGATGTTTTCCGCAGGGACTCCATCATAGGTGGGTACTGAGATGGGTCTTGTCTTGTTCTCTCTGCCTCTTTTGGGCGGGGCCTCATTCTGTCGGGCGTGTGGCATCTCCTCCCAGCTCTCTGCCCTGAGCCCAAAAGCATTCTCAGCCCGGCTTTTTTGGATGCGCTGAGCAGCTCTGGGAGGCGGCAGTGGGTACCTGGCTGGCCTGGCAGTGGTGTCCCCCATGCCCTGAATGGGCCTCCCGAGCCCCCCATGCCCTGGATGGGCCTCCCGAGCCCCCGTGTCCTGGATGGGCCTCCTGAGCACCCCGTAGTGGGAATGAGCTGCCTGAGTGTCCCCCAGCCCCGTCAACGTGTAGAGAACGTCATGGCACAAGCTCACGTGGAAGAAGGGCTTCAGAGTTCTCCTTCAAAGTGAGGTTACAGCGACCACCAGACCTGTTCCTGGGTGACTTCTCTGAGGGGTCAGGGTGCAGAGGACACCCCCCTCGAAATCCCCAGACCTCACCTGTCCCTAACTCTTGACAGCCCTCCATGGGGATTGGGACGGATTGAGGTGAGAGGTGTGAGTGTGCCAGTGGAGTGCTCCTGGAGAGGGAGAAGCAGGGTGGGACAGCAGAGCCTGCGAACAAGAAGGTGCCTGGGTGTGGGCTCCGCTGGGCACTCACGTCCACCACCACCTGCATGGGGCTCCGATAACGCACTCCCAACACCAGGAGGCTTTTAAGCATGCCTCTGCCTTCTGACTTGGGGCTGCTCCCGCAGCGATGAGCTTGGGCTCAGCCTCTGTCCTCTGTTGCGGAGGATCCAGCCTCTGTCCATGCTGGTGGACCCACAGTCTCGGGGCTAAACCTGGAGCTCCACAGTTTTGTGGGGTTCCTTGGCTGATTCTCAGTCAGACGGAAACATGTCTGAGTGCATTTAACAGGTGCGGGAGCCTGTTCTCTGGGTGTGCTGGGACATGTCACCGTCCTGTCCTGGAGGCCCGTCTTCAGCTGAACGAACTGGTGCAGACCAGTTGGACGGTTGTTGGGCTCACCTGGCGCTCACACATGCAGCCAGCCAGGGTCTCAAGTCTTCACGTCGCTGCGGATTGCGCACTGCAGACTTCACTTAGAGGCCTCATCGGTTGGCCTCGTTGGTTGAATGTGGAGGCTGATGGGAAGGGAGAAGTCCAGGATGACTCCTCGTTATGGGTCTGCACCACCAGGTGGATGGTGGGTGCTGGGACACACACAGGACTGGAAAATGGTGGGGGTCGTCCTAGTGGAGGATGAGGTGGGGGGAGATGGGGATGACATGGTGAAGAATGAGTTACTCATGCCAGGACGAGATACCATCTCCTACCAAGAGCAGAAACCCATCATCACCATGGACCACCCTCCACCCATCATGCACCACCAGCCATCCACCCTCCCGCACCATTGCTACCCACTGTTCACCCTCCTCCACCATCAGACTACCACCATCCCCTCCTCCACCACTAGACTACCACCATCCACCCTCCTCCACCATCACCACCTGCTCCACCATTACCTACCATCCATCATCCTTCATATGTTCTCCACATCCTGCACTGTCACGTGACACTTAACTGTTCTCCAGCCTCATCCTGTCTCTTCACCCACCAAGTCTGTTTACCACCTTCCACCACTGTTGTCCACTACTTCCAGCACCAAATTTGTCCCACCACCTGAAACCCACTTGGTAAACCCATAAAGCTATACTCGTTCAGATCTGTTCTAGCCCCAGGCACACGCTGCGCATTTTTGGGGGAATGGAAGCATGTGACTGGGTTTTCTTCCACCTGAAGAGGGTCGCTCTGCACAGTGCTGCACAGTAGGGCAGCAGACACCAGCCCAGGCCGGGGAGGCCCTTTTTCTGCACCTGCTGGTTGGGAGGGAGCATTCTTCCTGCTGCACCAGAAGCTCCTCTTACCTTGTGTCTCCTTTGGTGGGAGCCTCCTTGAGCATGTGCCCCAATGCCTGCACTCCTAGTGCAGCAAAGATGGGTGTGCTGCTCGTGACCCCTTCATCCCTGGGTGGAGGTTTGGGCTGTTTCCAGTTTTTAGCGATTGTGAGTGAGGCGTCTGGCAACGCTCTTCTGCATCTTTATATTGACATGTGATTTCATTCCTCTTAGAGGACACCTGAAAGGCAGCCTGCTGGGGTATCTGCAGGGCATGGAAAGATGACACAATCTGCCACCCTTTGGCACAGGGTTTAACTGGAGCTGAAGGCAGTTGAGAATACGTGGACACAGGAGAAGCTCTCCAGCCTGCCCCAAAAGCAGGACGTGAGTCTGTGTAGAAGTTAACCGCCGGGACCGCCCTAGAGCCCTGTTTAGGCTGGCGGTGACCCTGGAGGGGTCTACATGACCCACCTTTGTCTGCCAGTGGCCCCTTCCTGCAGTTTGTGTCCTGGAAGCCCGGTGGCCTTTCCTTGGTCTGTCTCTTGTCTCTGAAAATTTTTGTTGTTTCAGGTTAAGATGCTACAGAAGCGCGAGTTCTGGCTCACTGCTGAGTTCCCCGCCCCTGGGTACATTTGAGACGTGTTAATAAACCTCCCTTGTTCTCTTGTCAGTCTTCTGTTGCAGAGTCTGAGAGAACCTAGAAGGTGGGAAGGAAAAGGTTTTCCCTCTGCTGCTGTGCGTGTTGACTTCTGTTAGGGACTAACAAGCCTTCTCCCGAGTGACGTGCCATCCTGAGATTTCCCCGGCCACGTGAGAGTCCCGGGAGCCACACAGCGCTCAGATTGTCAGTTTTTGTTTTTAATCCATTTGTGCCGTCTTGATGTGTGTAGTAGCTCATTGTGGTTTTTATTGCATTTTCTTTTTCTTTTCTTTTTCTTTTTCTTTTACTTGAGAGAGAGAGAGAAAGAGAGGGAGAGCACAAGCCAGGGGGAGCAGTGCAGGGAGAGGGAGAAGCAGGCTCCTGCTGAGCAGGGAGCCTGACACTGGGCCTGATCCCAGGACCCTGAGATCACGACCTGAGCCAAAAGCAGACACTTAACTGACTGAGCCACCCAGGTTCCCCGAGTCTCTACCCTTTGTTCTCAGTTCCTATGCACATTCAAGATGAAAAACCAGATAACAATACTCTACGACTATGTTTCCTCAAAGAGGGAACCCCCTCTGATTGGAATACCAGCTCTGTTGTTAAGCTCTCCAAGCCATAGCCCAGGACGACCCCCTTAAGAATTGCTGGGCGTGTCACGACACACACTCCAACCAAATACAAAATCCTCCCTCCTCACTCCTCTCCGCGCAGTCACGTCGTCCGCAGACTAAGATCACGTGCAGTGCCTCTAACCCAGCACCGTTGCTCCTCCACCCCAGAAGTACCCTAACCCCGTTTGCTTTAACCTCCTCTCCCTGTTTTGACATTCTTCATGCCCATAATTTCATTTCTTGTGTAAGATATGCCCACCTGGGACCTAGCGTGGTCCCTACAGATGTAAGTCTCACCTTTCACTACAGTCTGTCAAGCTGCAGCCACATCTCGTGCACCTGCCCTAATGCTGCCGCCCTCTGCCAGGTCATCCCAGAGCGGAAGATGAACCATGAAACTTACCATCAATGCTTGGGTTCACTAATCTGCAGGGGAACGATTCATAAAAAGCCCTGTCACTGGAATTCTTGGAAGAGTTTCTGCTCTAATCAAACCAGGGCTAGGTTCTAGCCTTCCTGTGACCTCGATAAACCTTACATGGCACGACCCCATCTTCCTTCTGTGCCAGTTCTTCTTCCCAGTCGTCAGTAGCACCACGCTAGACAATAACGCAGGAGCCAGTCAGTCTTGCTGTGCGCCCACGGCAGCCCCTTAATTACCTTCCCATACTGGCAAACCCCTGTGGAAAAATAACTGGCCAAAACCTACCCTTCAAATGCATTGACAATGCCTGGGTCAGTAGGCAGTGCATGCTAGGATTCATAAAAACCCATCTGTCCATCTTCTTGCCCACACACCCCACAGTCCCCATAGAACCAAAAAGGCTTTAGGTAGGATAACTGCTAGAATTGGCCATAGGCATGTTGGCCCCCTGGGAAGAATTTGCTTATCATGAAACTACCCTGTGTAATCTAACAAATATCCTAGAAGAATTATCCCACTATACTGCTTCAGCCCTACAAGACTCAATAATTATTCCTGCGTTCCCTCGCTTCAGTAGTCCTCGAAGATCAAACAGCCCTGCCAGTCGGCAGAACAAGGGGGCGTCTGCTGTCACTGATAGCTCTCATCATACCTCGAGAAATACTTCCTCCCAAGTTGAACTAGGTAATTTTTTCTATACAAGCCTTGTAGCTTCACAATATCAACAACCTCACCTCCAGTGAAATTTGAAATCACAGTAAAAGTTATCTACCGTTGCCCAATCTCTTTAGTTGGTTGTTTGGCAAAATAGGAAACATCCTGCAGTTTGGACTATGGGGGTGACTGGCTGGCTCAGGCGAGAATGATCTCGGGGTCATAGGTTCGAGCCCCAAGTTGGGTGGAGAGATTACTTAAAATCTTAAGGGGTGCCTGAAGCTCAGTTAAATGTCCAACTCTTGATTTTAATTCCGGTCGTGACTCAGGGTCCTGGGATCGAGCCCCACATCAGGCTCTGTGCTCAGCAAGGAGCCTGCTCCCCCCCCCCCACCTGCCTGCCTCTGTGCCTACTTGTGATCTCTCTCTCTGTTAAATAAATAAATAAAATCTTTAAAAAAAAGACTTGATTTTTTTAAAAATTTATTTATTTCAGATGGGGTGGAGAGGGGCAGAGGGAGAGGGCAAGAGAGAATCTTGGTCCCCGCTGAGCAGAGAGCCCGACATGGGGCTCGATCCCAGGACCCTGAGATCATGACCTGAGCTGAAGGCAGAGGCTTAACCTACCAAGCCACCCAGGTGCCCGAAAAAATCAAGTCTAAAGAAAATCTAGACTACAGTTGTGTATGGTACTGTTAATTTTGGTATTAAGCTTCTGATGCTGTATAAAATACTCTTTCTAGGGGCTCTTTCTGAGGCTCTTTCTGAGCCTCGGTGGCTCAG